TAATTCTTAGGGCCTAGTTAAGTCCTTAGAGCCTCACTAAGTTGCTGAGGCTTGCATCAAACTTGCAATCCTCCTCCCTCATCTTTCAACACCTCTGGAAGTACAGGCATGTTCCATTGCACTTGGAAATTCTTTGTTTTAATGCATGTGAATATTTTGCTGTCAGTTGCTCTGTGTACAATATACTGTTTAAAATGTGTACATCCTATATACCTGTGTTTCTGCTCTGGATACTGGACTTGTTAAGTAGAAAGTTGTCTTTTTTTTAATATTTATTTTTTAGTTTTATGTGGACACACTATCTTTATTTTATCTTTATGTGGTGCTGAGCATCGAACCCAGTGCCTCCTACATTCTAGGCAAACACTCTACCATGGAGCCACAACCTCAGCCCCAGAAAGATAAGTCTTTATCTTCCCAAATAGCAGAATGTGGCAGTATAAAGTGTATAAGTCAAGGCAGTGGATATGAGCTGAGTATACTAAACTCATTTATTTAGGTAGCGAGACTGTCACGGCCAATTTTAAAGATATTTTAAAATCATTTCCAATTCTTTTTTATTGAAATATTTTTATTAATTTTTAATTTTTTTGATAGTTGTCCTTTTAAGTTATACATGATCATAGAATGTATTTTGACTCATTTCCAATTCTTTAGGCTCACCCTGTGATCCCACCTTCATCCTGGGCTGCGCTCCTTGCAATGTGATCTGCTCCATTATTTTCAAGAACCGGTTTGACTACCAAGATCCAGATTTTCTCACCTTGGTGAAAAAGTTAAATGAAAACGTCAGGATTATGAGCTCTGCATGGGCAAAAGTGAGGCCAAGATCCATTCTGCCTTAGAAACACTTTAGTCTTTTTTCTTCAGACACATCCAAAATAGTATATGGTGCTTGAGGTGATGTGATTGCTTGGATTGTACCTTCTTGCCTAGAGCCATGGAGCAAATATCTGGGAAAGGTTTTGAATTCTTTATTTGGCATGCAGGAATATGAAGGTGCATGTATAGAGCTGGGTTTTAGCCCACTCCAGTGAGTGGATATTTCTTTACATATCAAAAGCCTTGTTTTTGTAAGGCTCTTGGTGACTGCCCAAGGGATGACCATGCCACTCCGTGGACATCTAGGACTTTTTGAAAGCTCCCATTGCCAACAAGGCCTGCCCAGCAATCAACACTTGGAGGACTTTCCATCCAAACATGTGGCAGGAATATCTCAATTCAGAAAAAGTATAGTTTCTGGAAGTAAAGAGAATAATAGGGACAATAAAACTTTGAGGAATCACGGAGTGGTGTATGGGTTTTGATGTGCAGCTGCTGTCCTAGCTAAAAAGATCACTGGGTTAGGAGAGACTGCTCCAGAGGACAGTTGAGCTCCATGTATTTTTGGGCCACCTCATTCCACATCTGAAGCTGGTTGACAGAAATAAAAAGCAGGGACTAGTGTTGTGTTCTAAATCAATGTTCCCCATATCCC